CTTGACTGACCACTCAAATCCATCTGGATGATGAAACCCTTCGTGCAAGCACTGAACCATAACCGTTGGGACCACACCAGAAAAGCCGATGTCCCCTTTGTACAACGAGCAACTCCTCCCGGCCTTTGGATGATCCAGTAAGAAAGCTGCAACCTCTCTGAGTGCACCTTCTCCTACTTTAGTTCCCCTCTTTAATCCTTCACCATTGGATGATAAAGGTAATCCTTGAGGATTATTCACAGCTAATGGTTCCTCATCTATAGGCTTAAATACAGCAACATACTTGTCGCCCGAGACATCTTGCATGAAGTAAGTCCCTCCTGAACCTTCACACGACCTAACGGGATTTTTTCCATTTGCCAAACCATTAAATGCACAAGTGATCATATCCCTAATGGATGAAGGCAGTTTAATATTATTCGGATTGAGAATGATTGGTTCGACGAGCAAATCATATTTATCAGGTGATGATGCACTATTTCTATTTCCATCACAATGTACAACACCCCCTCCTCCTCCACCTCCAAGTCCTTCATTCCAATTAGCTGCAACGACGGAGAGTTCAACATCCCTCTCGAGATGCTTAGCCCGAACTTCAGCAGATTTTTTCTGAACTACCAAATGAATCACAGCATCAGTAGTACTAGTAATATCATGAATGAGCCTCTGATCCTCAAGCTTCTCTCCGTCACAGAAAAACTCATGAACCTCAAGCTCCTCGCCAACGAAATCTTTCCCTTTTTTAAAAATACTACGCTTTAAGCCAACATTCTGATGCCTACCAACATGAAATTCAAATTCCTTCCCACAAGTGGTGCTAACATTAATAACAAGCAAATCAGAGAGCTTAAGAACTAAATGCAAAATATTCCCATCAGTGACACCATAGTCTTTAACAAGAGAATCATTTCTTGACAACTCTCTTCCTCCAAATACTAGCTTCTGTCTCTTCACTACAAACCCTTTACTTGTTTGGATCCTAAGCTTCACTGACGCAATTGAATCGGACTCCAATACACGCATTGGAATCACTGAGCCCGCGACACTAATGTATATCACAATTGATTCATTGCTGCAATGGTCTAATGGGCCATTGTTGATATGCCTGTTAGCTTGAATAGGACTCAGTGCCACATCAACAGCTGACATTTTTTGAATATTAGGACCCCCTTTTCTTCAATATATCAAACAGGGCATTAATATCTGCGCAAAATGCAACAGAAAATGCTATTCCACTTATTATCAAACACCTCTAGCTACACACATACACAAACTTGATGATCAAGAAGCACAAAAGGCAAGAGCTTTAGATTAATTCTTCTAAAAATATAACTTTTTTTTTCTTTCAAGAAAATTTAAGTAGTAATTAAGATATGCTTCAAATTCAAGACCACCCCGGAAAAATTTTGACAAGGAAAATGTAGGAGGAGAGTGGGAGAAGAATGTGAAGAGTGAATGAGAATGGTCGGTTTGTTGTTCTGAGAAATGGGAATTTGTTTTTGGCAAAGGAGGGGTACGTGGATTCTTTACCAGTGGGAAAGAATCAAAGGGAAATGAGTTGATAAAGATGATCTTATATATTACCACTGCTGAGGAGATGATGATTTGGACATTCGTTATCCATTTTTCTTCTTTTTTGTAGTTCAAAAATGGTTCCCGTTTTCTTCGTCCATTTTGTTAATTTTTTAGTTTTTAAAAGTTTCAATTAAAAGATGTCGAGAGAGTGGAGTGGGCGGCAGCATAGCCGTTGGCTTAGCAGTTTGGTTCTTACTGAAACACGAGGTAAAGCTTTGTCACTTAACGGTCTTACTGCTGTGAGATTTAACTTCGTGGAAGGCAATGCTGTACTACTTTTACCCCTCAAGTCATGGAGTATTTGTTTAAATTTTATAAAAACATATAAAATAGAAGGTTAATCTTCACATTTATGCATTAGTAACCTTCCACAAACTAGGTGATACTACATGTATATACTTGTCCCCACATGCACAAATTTTCGACTAAAGCTTAAAACATCTTTTTTACAAATTTAACAAATACTGGAAAAGCATGCTTTCAGAAAAGGAAAGATGAAATGAAGTTGCTGCGTGTGACCAGGGAGTTTGAGCCGTGACAGCCTTTTGTAAAAATACAGGTTAAGGCTGCATACAATACACCCTTGTGGTCCGACTCTTCTTCGGACCCCGCGCATAGGGCACCATGGAGTGGCGGATCTACACAGTATCATGTGGATGTGGGTGCTCAAGCACCCATTATCTTTGACCAGATTTAGCAAAATTTGCATAGGTAATTATAAAAATATTTAGATAATATTGAGTGAGCACTCAGGACTAAACTCCTTTTTCCTCTTCTTTCGAAATTTTTATCGTCGAACACCCATATATGATTTTAAAATTCTAGATCCGCCACTTACACCAAGTTGCCCTTTAAAGATGATGAAATGATGTATCCACGAGCTTTTATCTCCTTTCCTTTTGCAATGTTTGAGTCAGCATTGTAACCTAAAAGTAAGAAGATCGATGAAGTGAATCCATAAAACTTAATTTACTTGCACCTAGTGTATGTTTTGCACCAACCCGGCGAGTATATATGATATATGTCTTTTACATATATAGCTATCACTAAATCACAGTCTTACCTCAATTTAACACTTAATCATGATATATTGGTATATATATCTGGTCCAAAAAAATCCAAACTATATATTTGAAATAGGAGTAATTGAATAAAGTAAGCCGAGTCTCCATATTCTGAAGATGGATAAAGAAAACGACTGAATTTGTATGTCATTTTGGGAAAAAGAGATAAAAGGAGTTACAAAGTGAAAGTTGATAAATATATGTATGATACTTTTCTAATGTTTCCCCACTCCAGTGGATCCTACATTCAAATAATTCAGTAGCGTAACACATCATCACAGATCTTAAAGGAATTATTTACTAATTGCTTTTATAATTTTTCCAATACTAACGATTTGATGGTGCCAAAAGTTTTCTTGTTATGCCCGTGACGGAGGGTGGGTCGAGTAGGACTGACCGACTTCTAGGCTGGTAAACTTCTTAAAAAGTGGTGCACTTGTCATTTTAAACGAATCCCACATCGGAATAGGAGAGGAAAGTAAAAAGTTTTATAAGGCATGACACAAGTTTACATGCTACTCGCGCTTTTGGGCTCCATGATGGCGTAACCCAAGGGAAAAATCCGTGAGGTCCGTAGGGCCAAAGTAGACAACGTGTATCGTGACTAACATGGTATCAGAGCTGAATCTCCGTCAGTACAATGGTGGCGCAAACCTCAGTGAAGACGCTGAGTCCCGGGGGAGGGGAGAGGGGTGATGCCCATGACGGAGGGCGGGTCGACGAGGGCGGGTCAAGTAGGACTGACAGGCGCGCGCTTTTGAGCTCGATGATGGCATAGTCCAAGGGAAAAATCCCTAAGGTCAGTTGAGCCAAAGCGGACAATACGTGCAAGAGACTTAGATAGTGAGTTTTCTCTTAATTGCAACTTCTTTTGTCTGTTCTCTTTTCTTTTTTGTTTAACAAGTCTCAATGTTTCTTCAATCTTTCTTTCGTTGAAGGTTTAATTTATATCTTTTTAACCCTAAAACTGAAAGTCATTGCCCGTCTGGCATACTTCAAAGGTTCATTCAAAAATTAAGAGCGGCAAAGGCTCTTACTAAGAGTATTTTCCTCTTGTATTAAGCCTAATGTGATCCAAATTTGTATTTGAATGCGTAAAGATTTTAAGAAAACTGCATGAAGTAAATGATATTACTCCTTCCGTTCCAATTTATATGAAGGTGTTCGAATTTTAAGAGTTAAACGAATTATTCTTTGACCGTAATTTTTTCATATGCCTTTTAAATATTTTGAATTATTAATTATTGTGACGTATAGTACTTTTTAGGTACTTTTCAAATATATAAATTTTATTTTGAAAAATTAAAAAATTCGATATTCAAATGCATGGTTAGCTCTTGTTTGATAATAAGTTTTTTTTTTTTTTTTTTTTTTTTAATATTTTGAAAACATGGTTTTGGTTATTAACGATGACCAGCTATTTTGCAGTCTTTGAAGATAATTTTTTCAAGTTTCAAAAAGTGTTTTGACTAATTTTTTAAGTTTTTTACTCACAAATACAATTTCAACTTCCAAAAACTTAGAACCAAATCTATGCTAAAATATTTATATCTGGAAAAGCGAAAAAGTTAAACAAAAGCGCTCTCGCTTGTCAGTTCCCTACTTTTGTTTGGGTGACCAACTGATCCTTTAATAATTGACTCTGCAGCCAATAGACCGTTAAGAACGGCAATGAGTCACACTCCTGTCTCTCTCTGGCACCATGATCTTATTTTTCTTTTTCATCTTTTCCTTTTTTTTTTCCTTGCAATTTGACTAGATTCTCATCATCAAAGAAAGTCCATTTTTTTGGTCTCGTGGATACTTGCTTTGGGACCAGACTTATCTGGAGTGGAGTCCCGTTTTGTGAGTAAAACGCCCTCAAGGCAACTTCATCATACTAGGAAAAACTCTCTCAAGGCGACTCCATTTACAGAGCTCAAAAAAATATTGGGAAAAAAGTTATCACCAACAAATTTTCATCTATTCCCTGCGAGTGATTAGTGCACTTTCTTTTCGTTTTGTTTTAAATAACGTTCATGCTATTGCTTAATTAAAACATCTTCCAATCAGGCAATCACCATCCTTAAATTTGAAAGCCTAATAAGTTATTATACGTTAATTGAAGTATCATGTGATAATGTTGCATAATTCCCTTTGTTTCTTAATTTGATTTTCAAGTTCAGATTATCTACCCGAAACAGAAACCACAACTTTTCCTTCCTAGTTTAACTTCAACTTTACGCAAATGATGAATATGATCTATAATTATCAAGTTCAAGAAGGTAAAATACAATTAAATCTCTCTATAACAGCTTCAATTGTTCCAATTTTTTTGGTTGTTATAGCTAATTTTTTTAATGTTATAGCGAAGTGCTGTTATATAGAACATATATTTTAACATATCATGAAAATTAGTTACAGAGAAAGCTTGGCTTTTATAGTAAATGACTGCTATATGACGATGTTGTTATAGAGAGGTTAGACTGGTGAATAGTCATGTGACGGATGTAGGATGGTGGGGGAGGAGGACAAGGAGGCTGACCATGTTCTTGGAATAAGATTCAGAACACAGGAAATGCCAAATGTGACATCTTATACATTGCAAACCACAAATTGCTCCAGTTGCAAGCGAGACGAGAAATTGTCCAAATAGCATTTAACTGGAAAATGGTTTTGCAAAGCCAAAAGACATATAAATCCGTTGCCTTGTGGAGGAAATCCGGCAGGCCATGAAACGAGAAAATGGTCGTGCACTCCAAATCAAACCAATTCTATGCCTGCTTCTTTCACTGAATCAATAACTGCTTTTACCTTTCCGTGGTATCTTTGCTCTCTCTTAAAGAAAACAGATATGGCAGGAATACCTTTAGCATGCAAGCGCTCTCCCAATAACTTACCTATTTTTGCAGCTGCAGCAACATCTCTAGTATTTTCTTTTGCTTCTACCATGGCAAGCCTTAAGCCTTTCTCTTGTGTGCTTGCTGAAGTAGCCACTGTTGCAGTTGGTGTGTGAACTACATGAGCGTTTACATACTTGTTTGTGAAGTGCATCCTCAGCACATACGGTTTGAGATACTTCGTCACTCTGTCTGGTCTAATTGGCGGAGGAATCACCATTTCTGCTTTCGAGGAAACAAAGACATCAACGAAGTATCAACAAGGAGGTTAACTGAAATATCAAAATATCTCAGATAGAGCTCAACATTCAGGGAGTACTTCTCATCTTCAAGAAATGAAATCTTGTCTGTCATTCTAAAGGTAATTATTACTACTAATTATAGCAGATAGCTAAAGAGAGTACAAAAGCCACATTTTTATGAGATAGCTTCAAGTCATAGAGCTAAGTACAAATCAAGCAAGAAAAGAGTCTAAGTACTGGATTTACAACTCAAAGATCATTAAGACTCGCTTTCATCATTCACTTTCATAGACCAAGGCGAATTCATTTTAGCTAGGCTCAACAAGCTTTACTTATAATTGAACCAAATGCTCCGTAGTCATACTGAAAATGCAACGATATCATCAGAGAAGTTAGGGTAAAGAAAGAACCCTTGATGTCCAGAGAATGAGTAAAAAATATTTGGAGACACTATTAACATCGTTGGTCAATTAGTCTCCTTCTTAAAGGTAGGGGTAAGGTCTGCATACACACTACCCTCCCAGACCCCACTTGTAAGTGGGAGTTACACTGGTTTGCTGTTGTTGTTGGTCAATTTGTAAATCTCCTCCTAGCCAGTGTCGTTTTCTCCAAAGTTTTGATGCTCCGCTTAAGCTTGTCGGAAAGTACTTAAACTGTTTGAAAGTAATGTTTCATTTCACATTAAGAGAGGTATTGTTCCATTTATTACCTTTTTGCAGTTATATGGGTAACAACAGGACAAGATAAGATGGGTTTATAACAAGGGAATCACAGTAGAAAGCAGCAGGAAGGGAGCAAGCTTGTAACTAACTGTTGCGATTTTGTATACCAATACTCTCTAGGTGCTAACTAATAATACAATGAACCTTTCGAGAAAGAAGAATGAAAATAAAAAATATAAAAAACTTGGCATCTTTTTGCCCCAAAATATCTTTAGATGAGAAGGACAAGTTTGCCATAAAAAGGTCTGAACAACTTTTATAGAAGGGACAATTAATTTTTGCTCATAAATGGTGGGTTTAAGACCATGAAAACCAATTATTTTTAAGTTCAATATAGATTATTTTCTTTAATAGTTATTTCTAAGCTATGATAAACTTATTATGTACCTCCATGATAAGAGTGGTCACGAATGGATTTCTGAAACAAGAGATCAACCAGGATAAGTTGCAGTTATTTATTCTTTTATTAACTCCTCATGATATGACTCTGTCTTGTTCTAGCATCGGACACCAGCTACGTACTCAATCTACTCCAGCTTCGCATGTTTGTCGTCAGCAACAATATGATTGTGCAAACACTATCTACTTTATCTATTCAGTAAGTAATATCCTACAAAACCAAAGAAAATAACAAGAAGGGATAAAGGGGAGAGGAGAAGAAATTTAAGGAGTCATTTGGCTCAAATTAGGGTATCCAAAGATTATAATCGTGGGATTATAACCAGGATGGATAATCTCACATTTTATATGAGATAGATAATCCAATGATTTTGATATATATTTTATCCTGATTTACCTAATTCCCATAGGCCACAACCAAATACTATACAAACTTATTTCCAAATTTTATACTAGGATAACCCCCTAACCCTGTAACCAAACAGACCCTAAAAGTTGAGATTTCAAACCATTAAGATTGGATGGGTATATGAGTAGATAAAAGGGCATACATGACTTTCTTCTTTTCCATCCTAAGGATTTAATGATATCTGGGAAAAAGGAAAAGCTATTCAACTAATTTGGATCAAAGTCAAGTAAATCAAACCCTTCAGAGTAAACATTCACTAAGAAAGCGATCCAAGTGGTATTTGACGGGTCTGGATCCCCTCCACTAGTGAATGCTCCAGTAATGCTCAATACCCATCTTCATATAAGCCATGTGTCCCTACAAAATTTTAATGGCCAGATTGCATATCTCCTCCAACCATGTAACACTCTTTTTCACTCCCAAAACAAAGACATATACAGAAAACCAAACATATGCTCACTTGTTCAGCGAACAAACTGTACGTTGTTCCATTTCAGTCTCTAGCTTGAAATAGGAATTCATTTTGCTTTTTCCAGAGAGCAATTTAGTTGAAACATACCCAATCCTTTTGCTTCTTTTCGTTTCCAAATTCCAAACTCCTTATTCCCTTTAAAACAACCTCTTGGAAATGTTCATGACAGTATGGAGCAAATGTTGTAGAGGAAAAGAGTTACGGGAAGATGAGCACAAAATCTTTTCTTCTCTGCTACACTACTGATATGTAAAGTTTTCATTCACTTTTATTTTCCACAAGCTTTGTTTACCCATTTCAAAAACGTGTTGAGTTCAAAGAAAGGATAACAGATTTGGAATTTTCTAGTGAATCTGTTTCGAATTAGGAGTGAAAGATTAAGCAGGGAAAGCTTTTCATTAAGTTGGGATCTGTGCGACTATTCTTTGTTTGGGGAGAGAAAAAGAATGCTACATGGGTGGAGGAGAAGAGATCAATCTTGGCCATTAAAATTTCTAGGAGCATTCACTACTGGTATTTGACACTAGCTATATGGAAAAGAGCTATGTAAATGCTATCTGCTACAAGTCAATTATTTTGCAGGTTGTAAGTAATCATTTTAACTAGTTTCTCTAGAGAATATTATGGAGTTACTGAATCAGGACCTGATCTCGCAATCTCTGTAAACATCATGTGCTTCTTGTTAATTAGATGTGACGTTTTTTCAATAAGGTAAACTAGATTTGACGAGTTTGATAGCAATGACAATGTAAAATACTACTGCTGACAAAAATAACCGGGTAAAGATTATAACTTTTATACAGACACACATACAAAGTTTCTGCAAATCAACACATTCTAGTGGAAACACAGTACAAGATGGACAAACATATCAGCTAAATTATCAAAAGAAGAAGAAAAAAACAAAAAGTCCAAGAAAATAATCGCAGCAGTTGCAAAAATCATCAGTGTCACTCAGAAATAGGGAAAGCTAGTCTGCAAATCGAGATGAAATATGTAACTACGGTTATAAAGATTAAGTAGTATACACCCAAATGGATCGCGACAGAAATACACTCTAATCCCATGCCGAACCACCTTCCCAAGACTCACCTGACCTCCACTAAGGCACCTCAGTACCTCATACAACACCATGACACCACTAGAAACCACAACAGTCGAAACCCCACATAGAGACGGGTTAAAAGAGTGAGAAAAAGAGACGGTAGAAAGGGACTCACCGGAGATGTTGCGGACGGTGTTGGATGACGGAATAGCGGCGACCTGTCTCAGCGGAGGGTTTCTGAAGAATTGGGAATTTGAGATCTTTCTAACAGATTGCTGTTACTTGTTTGTATTGTATGTTAAATTGTGTAGTCAGCACTTTATTATTAAATAATTTTATTTTATTTTTTTAATAATAATTTTACATTGTAACTTACTTTTTTTTTTTATGAAAAAGATTAAATATATCCTTGTATTATAAAAAAAGTTTAAATATACTCTTCGTTACACTTTGGGTTCAAATATGCCATTGCAGTAATACTATTGGTTTACATATACCCATAGGTGGCCATTTTACCTCTCTTGTTTTCACCAGTAAAATTTTATGTGACCCCTAATTCATTTTACCCCTCATTTCTCGTTTGTTTTCACCGCTAAAATTATCTTCCCCTCTACCCACCATAACTGCCATCAAGAACAATATTGAATTTCAACGTTTAGTCTTTTATATAGAATTTTAGAAAAGCAACAAGGCAAAAAAGAGGTGTATGTACTAATACAACTTCATTAAGACCTATAACTTCAACTAAAGGGACTGAAAATTTGAGAACTTCCGAAGCCAGAAACATATCAAGAAAGAAAGAAACTTGTGCTTCAGTTGAAACTCATGGCAACTACCTCTCTCCCCTTGGGTGCTAGTTTCCTGCTTCTAACATAAGTGTAAAGGTTGATCAAATTTCATACCGACTTCTCAAGCACAGGACAAATGAGACCAACAAAAAAAAAATCACAGTTTTTAATAAGGTAAATTAATTTATTAATAATGGGAAAAATTGGGCTTTTCTTTTAATATTATTGAGTCATTACACACAAGTGACTGAAAATGATCCGTCCAATTTTCTATCTAACCCAGCTGTGAACCCCACAAAATCTTACAGGTACAACATGCATGCAGGAAAAGTATGTGAGGTTCTTTCGAATAAAATTGAAACGAATTTAGTATATTTAAGCTGAGCATCTACGCCTTGTAAAATAAGTCATTAGAAACTGTCCGTTCCAAATATTCTGTGGAACTTTTCTGCAGTATCAGTGTTCGATTAGTTGCATTTGCATGCCAAGTTGTTTTAGAGATTTTGTTTTTGTTTCTCATGATAAAGATAATGCCATTACTTGAAAAAAGAGAAAGCACAAAGGTTAAAGAAAAGAAGATTAAAATTTAGTGCGTTACGTTATTCTTGGCTACTTTCAATATTGAAATACAATATTGTTCATGATGGCAGTAATATAATGGGGTGGAGGGAAAGGAAATTTTATTGGGGTAAAATGGGTTAGGGGTTCTGAGGTGGCATGTCATGTGATATTCACTTCATCAAATGTCAGTGCCACGTAGGATTTGATATCCAACTTGGACAAATAACAGACGAGAGATATATATATTTGAACCAATAGTATTACAACAATGATATATTTGGAGTCAAAGTATAACGAAAGATATATTTAAACCTTTTCTCATAGTACAGTGGTATATTTAGCACTTTTTCGTTTTCTTTATAATATTGTAAGTTTAGTAATTAGGGGTATTCAAAATCGAACCATAATCGATAATCGAACTCCAAAATTTATTTATTGACTTATTGATATCAGGTTATCATATTAATGATTGGTGAACAAACTGAAATTTTATAATTAATGATTTAGTTGTTCGGAGACGGATTACTCAATTTTCATATTGGATAAACTATTAACCCGTTAAGAATTATTATATTTATATTTTTAACTTGTGTATATAATGAAATATAACGTATATGCATCATGTAAGCCTGTTTTATGACGATTTGACAGATGGCGAAAAGAAGAAAGCTCAAGATCAGAGCATTGGCAACTTGAGCCTTGAGCTTCCAGATATCTCGCCTTGTGTTGGACAATAAAGATGTTGCTTATTTTCTATCTTAATTCTCATTTTGCCATAACTGATTCGTCGCATTGGGGATGCCACTTTATGATTGGAGAGGGAAATTAGTTGGAATTAAGATAAAATTATGGGAGAAGATCGAAGAATACAATCTCATGCATAATAAGTTTTATGAGTTCAACTTGTTACCTTAATTTTGCATGGCCAATAACTTTCGAGTCTTTTGAATATGCTACAAATAAGAATAGTACAATTGTGACTTCCCTTATCTGTATACTTTTAGTTTTTGCAAAATTTCAAGAGCTAATGATAAAGCATATTAATAGTCAAATTTTGGTCTTTATTTTGAAAATATATTGTTTTTAGCGGAAAATTAGCCTAAACTTACCCTATTGTTTGCTAAATAGTTTATTTAATCCGCCGTCCATTTATCAGTCCAAAAATATGTATTACGTCTATCTATCAGTCCAAAAATGCTTATTATATTATTTTTATTAATAAAAATACTCCTACGTTTAATGGCAGACCAAGTGGTCATCAAATTAATGCATTGACATCTTTTTACTAGGCCACGTAGCACTCTTGCCCTAGAAACCAACTTTGGGTTTAATTCAAATCATTAAACGGATCCGACCCATTAACTGGATATGTCTGTCTCCTCCATCAATTTCTCTCTTTCTTCCATCAATTCCTCTCTTTCTTCCATTTTCAAATCGTATGCTTAAATGTAATGACCCGACCAGTCATTTTGAGAGTATTAGCCATGATCCCATGTTTATCGCTCCCTCTATCTCTTTTTGTGGTTTCTTGACTTTCCGGGGTGCTTGGTGTCGGGTTCGGGAGAGTTTTGGAGTGGCATGGGACATATAGTCCATAAATTAAAAGTTAAGGAGTTGACCGTAGTTGGACTTACGTGAAGACGACTCCAAAACGAAGTTTTGTTGGTTTCAATAGCTCCATATGGTGATTTTGGTCTTATGAGCATGTCCGGATGTTGATTTGGAGGTCTGTAGGTCATTTCAACGTTAATTGGCAAAAGTTAAAAAGTTGGAAGATTTTTAGAAAGTTTGACGGGGAGTGGACTTTTTGATATCGGGGTCGGATTTCGATTCCGAAAGTTGGAACAGGTCCATAATGTCATTTAAGACTTATGTGTAAAATTTGAGGTTAAATGGACGTGATTTGATAGGTTTCGGCATCGAATATAGAAGTTAGAAGTTCGAAAGTTCATTAGGCTTGAATCGATGTGCAACTCGTATTTTTAGCATTGTTTGATGTGATTTGAAGACCCGACTAAGTTGTATGATGTTATAGGATTTGTTGCTACAATTGTTTAAGGTCCCGGGGGCCTCGGGTGTGATTTGGGTCATGTTCGGTACATTTCGGAACCTTGAAGAATAGCTGAAGTTGTTGGTTTTTCTTAGGTCTGGTTTCCTTCAATGCGATCGTGTGGGTTGGTCCGCGATTGAGAAGGTTTTTTTTGGGTGGACTGTGTTTTACTCTGCGCATTCCGAGAGAATTGGACACGAACGCGGAAGGTTGGTTCACAGCGTGTCGCGAACGCGTGGTGTAGGTCGCATTCACGTAGAGGTTTTGGGTGCAACAAGTCACGCGCGGTTGTACTTCGCGATAGCGTAGGTCTGGGCACTCCTTGTCCGCGTTCGCATGTAGACCATGTTCATGTAGTCTATTTTTGGGTGCAGCCTTGCTTTCTTCTTCGCGATCGCAAGGATTATTCTGCGATCGCGTAGTGTAATAACTGAGCCTTAGAACTTAAATTTCAAAATCGAGGATTTTCTCTCATTTTTCATTTTGGGCCTTGAGAGCTCAGATTGAGGCGAGATTTTGGGGGATTTTCAGATAAAATATTTGGGTAAGGATTCTTGACTCGTTTTGACTAATTTTCACTAATCTATCATTAATTTCTTTATTTAATTAAGGATTTGGGTTGAGAAATTGGGCGGAAAAGGTGGAAAATTCTTAGGCCGAATTTTGAGGTTTTAATTGAAGTTTTTATATTGGATTTGAGTAATTTTGGTATGGGTAGACTCGTGGTTGAATGGATGTTCTTATTTTGTGACTTTTACCTGATTCAGAGATGTGGGCCCGGATTGACCTTTTGGAGCGATTTTTTCAATTTTTGCTAAAAACATAATTTCATTATTTATGTTAGTTTCCTATAGTGATATTTATAATATTTAATTGTTTTTTGTTAGATTTGAGCTGTTCGAAGTCGAAAAATTGAGAGAAAGGACTTCTTATTGATTGATTGAGCGAGATTTGAGGTAAGTGACTTGTCTAACCTTGTGTGACAGAAATCCCCTTAAGATTTGGTATTGTTTTGGTAATTTGCAATATGTGAAGGCCGTGTACGGGAGATGACGAGTGCATACACAAGCTAAATATTGAAAATCCGGTTCTAGCTAAGTAGTTTCTTTTTATGTCTTAACTGAGTTACTTTAGCATGTATAGTCATCATGTCTAGTCTAATTTCACCTGTCTACTTGTCTTATCTCTTATTTGCAACTTGTACTATATGTTTAGTTGAATTACCTACTTACTTGATTCTATATTCCTTATTTAACTGTGGGATTCCTTACTTGAAATTGCTATCCTTGAAATATCATTGGTTGAGTTGTTATGTTTTGGTTTTCATGATTATTGTTGAGATGACTATTTGGTTGTTGCACAATGTTTCTGCCGTGCGGTTGTTATTATTTGCATGAGGTTTCTGCCTTGTTGTTGTGATTATTGATATACATACGGTGGTATAAGGTTTGGGTGTTGAAACGCATGCGGTGAGATAAGGTGGGCTTGATATGCGTGGCTAGTAGGAAAACTACTAGAAGTCACGCGGTGTGATAAAGTTGGCTAAAACGCGGGATGCTATTTCGGGAAAATGATTTTCAAAATATAATATAAAGGCTCTGGCGGTGATATAAGGAAAGATTGTGAGATATTTACTTTTGGGACTACGAGGCGGTACCTCGGGAATGCCGTTGTTGATTTCCTCTATTTGTCTTTTCTTAACTTGTAACATTTTTGCTTTTCTTTCATGTTGTATTTGTCTTCCTTTGATTCCGAGTTATTGCTTTCCGTAAATTCTCGTTGTTTCACTTCTCTATCATTTCATTATATTATTATATTTTCTTGCCTTGTTTCTAATTATTTTCAGTAGGGCCCTGACCTGACTTCGTCACTACTCTACCGAGGTTAGGCTTGGCA